TTGTGAAATAAAAGTTTAGAAATGATCCCCACAGGTGAGCTGCAATGAAAGAAAGGAAAAAGGCTGAAGAAACTGCCACCTACTTACCTTGCACTACTTGGCTGTTTCTGCCAACTCAGCCAGGAAGCTAAGTGTCAGAAGCAAAAGCAAATTTTGGAGTGTTCTTCATTTCCATGAAGGAAAGTTTGAGAAACATGGGTCACTTATACTGTTTAAAACTTTCTGGTTGTTCTGGGTGTCTCTTGTAAAGGAAATCGTAAAAGTATTTTTTTTCACTCAAACCAAAGTCATTGTACCTTGAAAACAGATAAGAGTTTGGCAAAGAATTATTCATGTGATTTATGGGTTATTTACCTATGTCTGTTTTCCTTCTTCACAGCATTATGCCAGCCACAGTGGCCATGAAGAGGTCTGTCTGTTGCTCCTGGAACAAGGAGCAGATGTGAATGCTCAGACAAAGTCAGGCAGTCAGTTTCATCGCTACACAGAGCAGCATACTCTGGTCACGTGTCAGTGGTGAACCTGCTCATCAAATATGGTGCTGATCCAAGACTTTGTGATAGTGATGGACAAATCCCTTTGCACGAGGTGACAATGAAATTGTTGTGGTTTGATTTAATTTAAAAGTGAGTTTCAACATTTAGGTGCAATTGCTCAGATTTCAAGTGTGCTGGGCAGTCAAAGAGGATGTGATGTAATCCTTGGCTAAAGAGAGCGAGTCAATCTCCAAAATTTCCAGAGTACTAAAACTAAAAAAAAATTGTAACGTAGCAAAGAATATTCAGACTCTTATAGGAATGCTGGCTCAGGTTGGAGAGCACTGGAATTCCCTGCAGAGGGTTGAGGGTTTGAGCCCCAGACCGAACCAACACTCAGGGTCTTAATAAAAACAGCTGGGGAGAAAGTGCTGCCTTTGCTCTGACAACTGAAAATGGTTGGATGTTCCAGTCTTCTTGGATAAGGACAGTGGAGTACATTTTCTATCAACTTAAGTTAGCAGGGGATGTAAAAGAATGCATGCACTTCACACAGAGAGTAGCGAACACATCTTCTCCCAGTGTTGTGGTCTGACCTCGTGTCCAAATATTCCTATATTGAGGGCACCAGCAAAAATTTCCCTCCAATGTAAACCACTCAATGCAGTCTGGTTGCATTCCCCTGCAAAGTGTTTTAAAACATATTTGAGCATTTATGATGGAGAATGCACCATAAAAATGCATCATCATCATCAGCATCATTCCTATCAGGCCTCAATCCCATAATACAGCCTCTTTATTATCAAAAGCATGCTTAACATCTTCTTACTCTACCTCCTCAAACAGCAAAGGACCCACACTCCCAGGTGCATTCCTTGGGACATGCACTCCCTCTTAATGTCTTCAAGATAGCATAGAGACATTAGCAACTAACAACATTTAAAAGGGGAGAAGGGTAAAGGAATATCTAAAACGTTTTTAGGGAGAAGTGTCCCAACTTCTTATGTTTGGGAGTGTAGGTTGTACTTTGGAGTCAACTTTATAGCCACTAAAAGTAACTAAACTTGCCTTGCTCTCCATACAGTGTCTCTTAAAGATTCGTGATAAGTAGGACTCCACTTTCTATCCAATTAAACAAAATAGCTGGTTAGGGAATCAAATGCTTAATGTATGAGCTTACAGTACTATGTCTTCCTTTTTCTTAAATTTCAGGCTGCTGAAAAGTTGCAAAAAGAAGTTGTAAGGTTGTTTGTTGAGTTGGATTCCAGTCTTATAAAAGTGAAAGATAAAAATGGAAGATTACCTTCTGACCTGGTATCCTCGAAAGAACTTGCCATGTTAAATATGCTTTAGCTACAAGAAACAAACTTATACTGGTACCCAACTTGTTCTTAACTACGTGTAGTCCATTCTCAAGATATGGAACTGCTTTTTCATGTTGGTTTTGAAGAAGTTTCTTTCCATTTTTTAGGATAATAGACTACAGGTAGTCCCTGCTTTTCAGCAAAGTCTGTAATATATCAAACATGAGGAAGAGTTTTCATCCAACATCTAAACAACGAGAAGTGGTTGAAAAAACAAGGCACAGCCGAGTGTCTTTTTAAACCAACTTCAAGGTGGTTGGATTAATCGGATGAAACACCCTTTTGAATGTTTGATATAGCTTCTCAAACCATTAATAATTCTTGGAGAAAATCAAAGCAAAAGTTCACCAAATTTTATGATAATTAAGATCACATGTCCAAACCTCCATCACGGTTGTAATTTCCTTTGTTTTCTCAGCGTGAATTATTAATGAGTTTGAGAAGTGCAGTTAAGAAACCAAATTTCCTGATGGGCGGCACAGAGCTCTGGGAGTGACATGCACAAAAGTAGGACTTTTTTTGTTTGCCTTTCTCCAAGAGTTCCACTCTGCATTCTAAAATCATTTTTTTCCCCCCATATTTCTTGGCTTCTACAATGGACTTCGCCTAAAAGGAGAGACTGCTCATTGTCTATCATGATGAGTGTAACCATGCATCGTAGGCACTTTTGACAATGGTATTCTGAAGAATTTTTTGTAAGGGCTTTATACCTGTATATGCTTTTATGATACTGTGACCACCAGACAGGATGTGGTTGCCCTGTTACAGTCAAGTTGCCGATGGTTCAGCTTGCCAACGTATAAAATCGAGTAGCAACATTGGCGAGTTGGTCTTCAATCCAGCACAACTTATTAGAAGTTAAGCATATAGGAAAATAAAAGATCTTTCGTAAAAAAAAAACATTTTTTTTCTTCCAACAAAGTTTATAAGGATCTCAAGGCAAATAAAGCGAGGTGAATATCGCCAATGACCAAATAAGCTTTAGACGTGAACAAGTTATTGTGTGACAACAACACTGTAAAGACTCATCATGTCAATCGGTCAGATTTTTCTAAAAAAGAACATGGCTTTCTAGACAAGATCTCTACTTGATTTTATATGTCGGCGAGTTGGCATTGGCGAGTTGAACCATAAGTGTCTTGACTGGATACCGTCCAACAACAAGAAGAGCAATTAAAGATAAATTTGTGGCAATGAGAGTTTGAACCTGTCCTGAATAGGGTAAATGTTAACCAGTTTTATAGAATAATATTTTTAATAACAAAAAATATTTCAAAACATTCTAATTGCAAAAGAATTATGAGAGGTAGAAATCATGTTAACCCTTTAACTCCCAGATAAAATTTGTCATTCTCCTCACTGTCAACCATACAATTCTTGTAATGTTAGTTTAGAGAATTTAGTATTGGATCAACTAATTATCCCCAAATTGATATTTTTCTTTATTCTCATCACTTATCTGGTTGATGTTGTATTGTTATTGTAAGGAGAAATTCTGTCTTGGTTACTCATGGGAGTTAAAGGGTTATGCAGGATGTTGATACCAAAATAAAGGGTGTGGTTCTTCATAGAATAGGATCAGGGTTTGGAATCTTGTAACCAAAAATCAGTCAGTTTATAATCTGAGAATTTTATTAATGAATCTTTGTACGTCCCAACTGACATCTTTTCTAGACAAAGATTTGGTGAGAAATATTCTTTATCGGGCAAAAGTTCTTAACAAACTCTTCCATTCATCTTTATCTTTAACTCATTTCATTTTTATGAATGAAGACAGAATTATATAACTTTAGCTCTTGTGGGCAGAATTCTAATGACACTGTGGGGGGATTAGTGCCATGGAATTATAATCAAAGGGCGTACTTTTACAATAATGTGTTGAAAGCTGAGGAAGATGTATCACTGCAAAGTCTCAAAATTTTATAGATGTTTGTTTAGTAACCCTTGGATGTCTTAACTCTTCGCACCCTCACATCAAGATGTAGTTTCTCCATACTGCTCCTTGTATTTTTTTAAGACACTGGTAAGGAGAATTTGTGTGACAATTGTGAGCTTCTTTAGTTTTGATAATTTTCTTTATTCTCATGACCTTCATGGTTGATTCAGTAGAGATGATCCAAGGAGAAATCAGATCTTAGTCACTCTGAGGAGTTGTAGGGTTAAGAAAACCTCACAGTTGTTAAATCATCAAAAGTGATCTTTGTAGTTCAAAGTTGTTGGCATAAATGAGAATGAATTATTTAGTGTGACAAATTTTTCACAGACATCTGCTGTTTCCAAATTAGAACTTTGTGTGCGCTGCTTAAATAGCCTGCAAGGCAGGCGTAGGTTTGGGAAGTCAGTGCTCAGTATTTTCTTGGTGAAATTATGGCGCCAGCTGCCATTGTTTGATTTTTATAGCAGCAGAAGACTAAGGAGAGAGAGAAACTTGTACTAAGGGGGTGAGTAACGGTCAAAAGGAAGGAGAGTGGAGGGGGTGGGGTAATAGAAATTACTTCTTTTCATCTTTCCCTGCTCCTACCCCTCCCCCTAACTTCTACTCTAACTCGAAATCAAACACGGCCGGTTGCGTAAATCTCGCCCTAAATAGAAGCCTGCACAACAATTTACTGCCATAAAGATCGTAAAACACTCTATGATTGTCACTCCGACAAAAGATAATGTCGGCAACTGTGGAACTTCCAACGATCAAAAATGGTGCCTCACGGAAAATTAAAATATTCTTTTTGCCTATATTTGCTTCCACTTTTTACATATTTTAGTTCTTGTTTCCCATTTTTCTAACAATTCTTCGTAATACAAAATACTTTCATCAGTTTCATGAACAGTTGCTTCACCAATGGAGGCTTCTTTGCTGAACTCTAAGGTGAGTGAGCAACTTC